CCAACCAACCATGCGTAATAAGGGTCTGTTTGCTTCTCTTCCCCACCAATTTTAGGATGGGCAACTGGTCACCCAAACCCACTCCTTACTTGGCCCTGACCATTTCCTAAATGTGCATCTGTTTAGAGTAAAAAAAATCTGTCTCAACTACAATGCTACATCTGTCTCAGATGTTTGCAAACTGTCAGAAGTTGGCTGTCCAGGATTACATGTGCAGGGGTCGCAAACACACAGTAAAACTGTCACACAGACTTTGCTAGATAAGAGGTAGCCTGACTTAGGTTGTTTCTTTGTTACTTGTGAGAAGCCAAATCGAGGGCAAGAATACCTATGATGGAGAGGAGTTAATTAATGAAGACAGGGGCAAAGATGCACCAGCCTACAATATGAAGTGCTCTGCATAACACAGGCTTATATGTTCGGCGGCAGAAAAGAAGCAATTGTAAAAAGCATATAAGCAAATCTGTTTCAACAGACAGTTGATGGTAAATGTATGGTAAAGAAATGTTTTTTTTTTTAAAAGGGAACATTTTTGAGGTCAAGTTTATTTTCAGCTTTCATGTTAAATTAGGTTTCAGATTTGTTACAATATGTAAGGGATCTTTGTTTTTACAAATAAGCATTAAATACATTATATAAATACATTATAAAGACTCCCATAGTACAGTGGATTATCTAAAGAAAGAACACTGCAGAAACTGTGTTGCCCCTATGACTGTATACTAGAAAGGAGCCATGTGATAAGGAGGGGGTATCACTATATATATTTCGGCTTGAGCTATTGAGCTCTCTTACACTATTTATACAAAGGGGCAAGAAAACTTGTCAAACAGGGCCTAGAGCTCCATCTGCCTGCTAAAAATAAAAAAATACTAATAACAAGTACTGCATAAACCAGTTTGATTACGGTCTAAAGAACTCTGCAATTACATGACTCATACATATCATAATGTATCTTGAGCAGTGACTAAGTGTCTAATACAAGAGTTTTGCTTTGTTCTATTCAACTGTGTAAAGACAATTATGGTAACTTAATCAGAAAACTGCCAGCAAGTGCTGTCATCATATTTCTACAACTATTTTTCACCCAGTAGGCTAAGAAATGATGTAGTATTTTGTCCATATGCCAACCAGTGTGCTTAACATCACGCAGTTGTTCCAGCTTATTTAGAGTGCTATATATTTGTATCATGACGTGGTACTCGGAGATCCATTCTAGCTGCAGTATGCTAATATGACTATACCCTGAAGCCTCAGTATGTTATTGTTATCTCGAAGAACGATCCCCCAAAGTGCCAATAAGACCTACTCATTAATCCCCTCTCTACACAGTATGTACAATGGCAAAGAATCCCTACTGCCATTGGCCATGAAAGATCACATAATTGCTTTTCTGGAATTAAAACTTCACTGCAACTAACAGTACTGCTCTTCCTATTACAGAAAGTCTGTCTTTAGCAAAGGTGTTAGGATTGCTTTGTTTCTAACAGCACTTTTTTCAACACTGGGCATGTAGAAAGCCCTTTGAGTATGACCATGCAGCACATGGCCACCTACTCAACCCTGAACCTAAGCATGTCCTCCCCTCCTGCAGTACAAAAGATACAGATCAGAGATTTAGTACTATTGTGGTGAGTATGCAGATAAGAATTTAGGAGAGACTGATGCTTCCTTCAGATAGTGTACATCCAAATTGAAGAGATATGTTTTTGATGGACATAGTATAAAGAAAATTTTTTTAATTAAAAATAGTTATCCTTGAACCATCAATTCACATCAAGAGAGAAAGACATGGAAGAAATTCCTAGCAGCAGGGATGCACCCTTCTGTATATCAGGTCAGCTAACTAAAAAGCACTCTGGGCTACTTGGCTTTATTTCAGCCTCTACATTTGAAACCTGCTACAATAAATTGGTTTCCAAGGTCAAAGGAAACTTAAACAGTTCCGAGTGGTAAAGCCTCCTTTGAGTTAAAGGAATTCTGAGAAGAGAGAAAAATGCAGGCTGCCATTGCTGATTATTCTACTGAAAATGCTAGCTGTATGGCTCTCATGCTGCTGCTTTGGCTTCAGTACATTCTGAATCAATGACAAAACAAATAAAAAGGTACGGCATTTTAATGTATTCATTACTTTCATCTGTTGCTTGCCTCCAAGTCCATGACTCATAAGTATTGAAGCCAGACAAGGCCAAGCAATGTGCATTCTTAGAAGCAAGGGCAGCCCTCATGGTACTTATGTCAGTTATACTTTAACTGAGGAATGGTGGGCTGTGTGCGTGTGAGAGAATGAAGGGTGGCGGACGTGTAGAATCTCTCTAGGAAGCCAATTTCCATCTTTATGAAGTTAGAAATATCCCTTTATAGTTGTATGTAAAGACATTATGGGTTACAATATACATTACAAACTCAATGGTGTACCACTGCAAAGTAACAAAACAGCAGAATGCGTGCACACTGGTACTAGTATTTTTGGAAATTGGAAGTTAGAAGTAGGGATGTTCAGATACCAAGTACTGTACTTGGTACAAGTACAGATAATTTGAGCTCCAAGACTAGATAAAAATTCAAAAAAAGTTAGGAGGCAGCTGAAATATTTATGGCGCATACAGAGCTCCTGGGATTTGTGCATCCTCGTTTTAATGTAGGATTTTTATATAAATATATATTAGGGATACACCGATACCATTTTTTCAAGTACAAGTACTGATACTTGTCCAAGTCCTCACAATTACAAGTACGGATACATTTTTGTTTATCGTCATGTGACCGTTTTCGAAAACAATACAGACTAATGATTTCAGGACAGTGATGGAGTACCAGAGGTAGGTCCCAGGTGCAACCCTGGTAGTTCTCGTGAAAATGCCATGTTTCGGCACTGGTATCTGAACATCCCTAGTTAGAAGTAAATTATGCTTAGCTTCAGTGTGTGTCCAAGGTTTGCACATTGATGTAGTGATTGATCAGACACTGCTCTATGGTTATTCAGCTATATTAATTATAGATGTTAAGAAGCAAATCAATGACAGTGCTAATATATGGTAAATACCTGGCACAGTAAAAGAGGTAACCAAATTAATACACATAGCTTAAGATTAGGCGTAGATAGAATCAATTTTCATTTGGATACTGGAG